TTCATTCAGGCAAAATCTAGTCCAAGTCAGATTATTTTGTATTTTAACCTTTCTGTTTCTCTTTCTTTTCTCTCAGGTCCTGTCTGGCTCAAGGGAGAGTTTTTATGGGTCACATCAAACCAGGATTTGTTGTGCTGGTCACATTGATATTTTTGTCTATTATTGCTTATATTTATGATTTCTCTCTCATGCCAGTCACTCTCCCTCTCACCTGGTTTAACAATGCAAAACAAACTAAATTATACAATGCAGTGTCTGAGGGCTTGTCTGGCAAAATAAATGTCTGGAATTTTTCAACTAAAACTATTGAAACGTCTACCACAGAGAAAAAACCCACTGCATCCATTAGAACAGAAGACATTTCAGTTCACCAATATCTAGCACATCCAAGCAATTATCATTTCATTCTGGACGAACCTGATAAATGCAAGCAGGATCCGTTCCTGGTCTTGATGGTCCCTGTGGCCCCCCATCAGCTGGAGGCTCGTAATGCCATCCGCAGCACATGGGGGAATGAGAGCTCAGTGCAGGGAAAAGCAGTGCTGACTCTGTTCTTGGTGGGTTTGACTGGAGGAGCCGAAGCTCAACAGCAGCTGGAGGAAGAGAGTCGACAACACAGAGATTTACTGCAGAGCAACTTTGTGGACTCCTACTTCAATCTGACCATAAAGACCATGGTGATCATGGACTGGTTGGCCACTCGTTGCCCTCAAGCAGCTTATGCTATGAAGGTTGATGCTGACATGTACATAAACCTGGAGAACCTGATGACCCTCCTGTTGGCACCCAACACACCCAGACAGAACTACATCACAGGGTATTTGATGTGGAACCAGTTTGTCATCAGAGACAAAAACTCTAAATGGTACGTTCCAGAGGAGCTGTACCCCGAATCAAAATACCACACGTATGTGCTTGGAATGGGATATGTTTTCTCCAATGACCTTCCTCCTAAAATATTGGAGGCTTCTGAAGCCATAAAGCCCTTTAACATAGAGGACGCGTATGTGGGCGCTTGTCTGAAACGGTTGGGCATAAATCCCTCTGGCGCTCCAGATCCTTCTCAGTTTCGTACCTATGTGAATGATCCTAAAAGTACGGACCTTTCCAAGCTCATTACAGCAATTGCGGGGTCACCGGAGAAGGTAATAGAGTTCTGGCAAAATGTGAAGGGACACGAATGAACAGATAAACCCGCACACAAGGAACAGGAATGAGCAAAATGAAGACACAATGTCCCAAAGCCCGCGCTGACTGATGCGCTCTTTACAAATTCAAATGTTGCCGCTTCAAACGACGGCAGGATAATCAAACGCTCATTGGCTCTCGCCTGCATTCGTCACAGATTGCGACATGCCGTGTTTCTGTGTTTGAATAATGCGCGCGTGCCTTCACGAGTTCACGGAGTGGATCGGGAAAATTATCTGGATAATATTTTCAGAGATTAACAACATGAATGCTGCTCTGGATCACACAAACCTACTGTATTCCGCCAGAGAGGACTGCGGGTGCAACGCATCGTCATTTGGATTACTTTTGGTACTGCTTTTGACATTTTTGCAATAAATAAATGATTGTAATTGCATGTATCTGTCTGTCATGCTTTTCTTATACTGTACAGAAATGTTTAGGTTCTTAATACAAACGTACAAAAGTGTACGTTTTGTGCTTGTAAATGTTACGTATTAATACCTACGTATAAACATGAGACCAGGCTGAATTGTAATGTATTATTGTATTGGTAGCCTAATGTAGCATCAAGTATTTTAAGTTACCTTTATTTGGGGGCTTTTCTCAGCAAATGTTGAATATGTATATATTACATACATACAGTGCCTTGAGAAAGAATACCTGCCTGTCAGTGTATGTTTTTGCATACCTCCTCGCACCCTGTTCACACAGACATGATACATCACCAACGCTACTGCTATTACACTACTGCAGACCGATAGAGAATGGAAAGTGTTATTACTGTAATCAGTTTTGGGGAAAGTTACTTTTAAAAGTAATGCATTACAATATTGCGTTACTCCCTAAAAAAGTAACTACGTTACTTAATTACTTTTTATGGAAAGTAATGCGTTATGTTACCTTTTGGTTGCTTTTTAAATCTGGGCAGGGCTTACTTGTTTGTTTTTAGTATAAAAAAGTTCTTCTTTTACAAATGTAAAAGCCCTTTCACAACAAAAGTGAAATGAATACACCTCAGGCTGAAGGAGATGTAAATTCACGTCTGTACAGTAGAGGGCGCTGCTCAAACAAATTGCATAAATAATATGACTCAGGAAAAGAAAGTTTAACACTATTCAGCAATAACAAAAATGAAACACAAATGTGTCATTTTTGCTTAGTATGGTTGAATCGGATCATCAAAGGTCAGTAGCAAAAACATTGGTTAATAAAATGGGATTAAATACAAAAATTATATTTGTCTTATTTAACATATTTAATTTTGCAGGTTTGTATAATACTCTGAGTTTGCATTTGACTGTTTTTGTTCATTTTGAGGAATACTGAATCTGTTTTTGTGCAGGTGAGATGAGTAAATATATATTCATATTTAGTCTAGAGCAGTGTTTCCCAACCTTTTTTTAGTCGCGGCACCCTTGTTACAGCACAGTAGAGCTATTGCAGACAGAAACAATACTGTACTACATCGATGTTTCCTGTCGGCTCGATTTTTGAGTGGACTTTCCTGTTCCGATGAGCATCAACGGTATATGAGTGGAGCGACTGAGCGGAGCGCACGCGCATAGAGCGAGATAACACGCAGAGCATCACACCACATGCTCTCGACAGACGGCACCCCGGTTGGGAAACACTGGTCTAGAGTAACAGTAACATCATGTTCACACAGCAAGCACAACATCTCTGCACTTACTCCTGATTTCTCTCAACATGGCAACACGAGAGCTGTCAGTCAAGACATGGGAAACAAAGTAACTTGCATTAGGCCTACTTACTTGAAAAAGTAACTCAGATATGTCCTTCTAAATTAAAAAGTAATGCGTCACTTTACTAATTACTTAAAAAAAAGTAATCTGATTATGTAACTCGTGTTACTTGTAAGGCATTACCCCCAACACTGACTGTAATATTATGTGCTTTGTACTCTTTCCTCACCGGTGAATGAGACACGAGTTAATCTGACAGCTTTGCATTACACCCTCCACCAACGCCGTCTCTCATCGTGTCGCTGATTAGCCTCTGGTTTACCTGTGCACATGTTCTTGTGTTTTGAAAGGAGGCGTGGTGGCTTTGGAGAGTGATTTTCAGGGAGGGTGGGATATGCTTTCAAAGCTAGCTTGATATTGCTAGCCTCTCTGAATTCGCCTACCCTTCCTTTACTTTTAAAAAGGATAGCCTATCCTCAAAATTTTAAGGTGGAAAAACTCCCCCAGAAAAAGTAGCTTACAATTTAATGTTAATAAAATATCAAGTTTTAATTTCAGGTCTCCAGAATGTGTATTTCTTTATTGTAATTTCAACATTGCAAACCATAAAATATTCAAATAAAAAAAAAATACATAGGCCAACATAAAATAAAAATAAATAAATAGCCTAAATAAATAAACGTCAGGCCGCTACAATTTAGTGTGCCTATTTTAATATCCACAAATATTTATAATACTTATCCACTGCTAAGAGAACCAGTTGATTCAATAAAAATTTAACTCAAGCTATAGATTGTAAAAAAAGTATCATGCTTTGTGTGTGTTTTTTAAGCAGCTACTGAACAAATAGATCTTCCTCATGCTATGCTTTTTGGAGTTACAATGAAAAACCAACTGTGACAGTTGAGCGGTATGTACATAAAATGAAAATGTGCAATTGATTTATTTTATTTGGGTTCTGTATTTTTGTATGGGATGCACATTTTTCCAGGGGTTTCAGAACAGCGTAATCAAAACTGCGTCATCAGGTCCTGATCGCAGGTGTTTCATGTCAGATTACATTCATACTGTTATAAATTCAGATACCTGTCCTGATTGCAGGGGGTTTCGTTTATATATAATATAAAAGGTATTTGACACGAAACCCCTGCGATCAGGACAGGTATCTGAAGTTACTGTATATGAATATAAAAGGTATTTGACATGAAACCCCTGCGATCATATACTTAGCACAGCTCTCCTCAATAAGTCGGATGATATTAATAATTGATTCTTGTTTATAGTGCAAACAATACAAGTTTACACACCAAAGAGTAATAGTTAGAGATAAGAGTTTAAAACTGTCAGGATCCTATTTTTATCCTGTTTTTGAGAATGCCTTGTGTGCCGAGATTTTTTTTTTTTTCGCCTCTTACACAAACTGCCACAACCCTCACCAGGGTGTCATCAACAGGGCATCTTTTTGTATTTGTTATTTTTAGTTCCTCTTTTCAAATAATTTTCACCAGACTGGTTGTGGTTGTTTTCACCCTGCCCCCCCATATATATACAGTGGTGGAAAGAGTACTGAAAAAATATACTCAAGTAAAAGTACCATTACCTTCCAAAAAATGTAGTGTGAGTAGAGTAAAAGTACTTGTCCAAAAAACTACTTGAGTAAGAGTAAAAGAGTAGCCTATTTAAAAGTACTCATGAGTTTTGAGTAGTGAATACTGAGCTGTGGATTCTTCCCCCTCATAATAAATGCTGTACACCGCAATTTATACATTTTAAAAACGTTGTACAATCTGTAATTCCCATTACACATTTACTCGAATTGTTATGCTGATAATACAATTTGTAAGTAACTTTTTCAAAGGAAAACACACACATGTCTTTGCTGAGCCGCAGCGGTCTTTTGTACTCTCAGTTGTATTTACCCCTGGCATTGATTGTGTATGTTCTTAGCAATGCAATAAAAAAATAAAATAAAAAAAATGAACGCCGCGGGTCATCAATAAGGTGCAGGTTGGTCCTCAATTTGTTTCCAACACACTTTTTCACAGCGCGCGCACTTCCAGCAGCCATGATAACAGTTGGCGGTTAAAGTTTTCTATGCACAATTTGATTTGACGAAAGTCACGAGACCTATTACTATCTATCCAATCACGTTGATGGATAAAAATAAAATTAAAATAAGCATGTAACAACCACAAACGGAGGAAAATAGCGGAGTAAAAGTACCGATACATCACTTAAAATGTACTCAAGTAAAAGTAAAAGTACACCATTTTTAAACTACTCAAAAAAGTACAATTACTGATAAAAACTACTTAATTACTGTAACGTGAGTATTTGTAATTCGTTACTTCACACCCCTGTATATATATATATGTATATATAGAAGCACCAGTTAAGCTGTGATACCAAACAGGACCACAGGGAGAAGCCAAAAGACCACTAAACCTGCTGCCTTAACCTGACTGTACATGCTACTATACGGATCCATTCAGAATAACTGAACCACTGACCAGCGCATAATCTAAAACACTTTCAGCTGGTGTAGCGATGAAACATGCTACCTATCAGATTGTGCTACCAAAAATATATTGCATTGTTTTAAGGGTAAGTTTAGGGTAAGGGTAGGTATGGACGGGTAGGTTTAGGGTTGGGGTATGGACATTAAAAAAAGCCTGAAACTACATGAATAAGATGCTGGTAGCACAATCTGATAGGTAGCATTTGTCGCTATCAATTTGTGCTACCTATCTTTTTAATGGGAGGTAGCACAAATCATCAGAACACTGGCACTACATTCAGACAGATGTCTTCGGGCCACTGCATTGTGTCTTGTGCTGTTTTTCAAGCATGTCGAAATTAAGTTAATGAAGTTAATTCACAGTCAGTGCTCTTTTTATGTGAGTCATTACAGGGCGTGTGACATCTGTTGAAAGGGCCATTATGTCTGACTCTGAAGATTAGAAGCAATTCTACTGGTATCACATATTCATTCTTCTGGGTTTGAGGAAAGCATCAGGGGGTACTGGTGAGGGTGTGACAGGAGTGCAGGCCTGGTTGAGTAGGCAAGCTGTGAGATTCATCTGGGTGGAGGGTGGAGAGGAGAATTTGATGGTTCCCATTGTTTACTTATGCAAGGAAATTTTTGTTAAGTTATTCATTCATTTTTGGGGTGGCAGTTCCTGGTTGATCATGGACAGTAAGGCGAGAGCAACGGAAACCATGATAGTTGGTCGTAATCTTGATGGCAGAAGTCTGCATGAACCGGAAGTTGCTGTCGACTTTACTTCAGTATTGTGATGTATTTCCAACTAAAACAAAATACTGACTAGAGGGCAGGGTTT